TGGGTAGAGTGCCATGGCATCACGCTCACAGCAACCTCCAACTCCTGGGCTCAAGCGAGTCTCCTGCCTCAGCCTCCCAAGTAGCTGGGACCACAGGCGCCCGCCACAGCGCCTGGCCATTTTTTGGTTGCAGCCATCATTGTTGTTTGGCGGGCCCAGGCTGGGGATTCGAACCTGCCACCTTAGGTGTATGTGGCTGGCGCCTTAGCAACTTGAGCCACAGGCGCCGAGCCATTTTGTTTATTTTTTGAGGTAGAGTTTCACTCAGTCCCCTTGGATAGAGTGCTGTTGTGTCATAGCTCACAGCAACCTCAAACTCCTGGGTTCAAGCCATACTCTAGCTTTAGACTCCTGAGTAACTGGTACTACAGGTGCCCACCACAACGCCCAGCTAGTTTTTCTATTTTTAGTAGAGACGGGGGTCTTGCTCTTGCTCAGGCTAGTCTTGAACTCCTTAGCTCAAGCAATCCACTTGCCTTGGCCTCCCAGAGTGCTGGGATTACAAGTGTGAGCCACAGTGGCTCGCCCCCTTTTTATTTTATTAATAGGTTATTCCTTGTTTGGGATTTATCTGGATGAATCCTCATGATTTGTTTCAGGCTATATGGTATTTACGTTCTGCAGGCTAGTATAAAAGACACTGTCTTTCTCAGACAAAACAAGATACTCTCGAGAGTGAAAGTGGGTGCTTCCTATAATCATGTTGAGATAGAAGGTGTAACTGTGTGTGGACTGTCTCAGGCAAACTGGGATGTATGGTGATTACTCCTATTTTACTAGTGCCCATACAGGGACCAGATTGGTAACATCATTTACCAAAGTGAAGGGTCCAGAACTTAAGCTCAGGTCTTTCCAGCAGCGATTTCCAATCCTTGCCCCCAAACTAGTGCCATTCAACTGTGTTTAGCTTAACCCTTCCAAACCTGAGCATGCATAAAGTCTTGTGCAATCTCTCTCTAGAAGCCTGTCTTTTTTTTTCTTTTTGGCAGTTTTTGGCTGGGGGCTGGGTTTGAACCTGCCATCTCTGGCATATGGGGCTGGCGCCCACCTCCTTTGAGCCACGCCCCTAGAAGCATGTCTTTTGAATTAAATTAACTCAGCAATGCTTTCTGACTTATGCATATAATCTATATTCCTCCTGAGTAAGCTAGCACTAGCAGTGTGGTCTTTAGGGTTGTTGACAAATGTCGTCTCTTCCTTCTAGGCATGGTAGGATTCAATTTCCCGGCATACTTGAAGTTAGGCAATATAATCACAGCATTCTACCGAGGTCTCTGATTTAGAATTTATTCCAGATTTTGTGTTTATTTAGTTGGATATGAATTTGCTTCCTGCACCCTGAGGGAAGGGACTTCACTTGGCTTAATATTTAACTCTGAGACTATCCTTTTTCAAGTACATGTTTTCTTTTTTTTTTGAGACAGAGCCTCAAGATGTTGTTCTGGGTAGAGTGCTGTGACATCACAGCTCACAGCAACCTCCAACTCCTGGGGTTAAATGATTCTCTTACCTCAGCCTCCCAAGTAGCTGGGACTACAGGCGCCCACCACAACCCTGGCTACTTTTTGGTTGCAGTTATCATTGTTGTTTGACAGGCCCAGGCTGGATTCAAACCCACCAGCTCTAGTATATGTGGCTGGTGCTTTAGTCATTTGAGCTACAGGTGCCGAGCCAAGTACCTGTTTTCTAAGTGTTTGTTCTACTGGATCGCATTTTTAAAAACATTTTTTATTAAAAATTGTAAATACTAGGTGGCACCTGTGGCTCAAAGGAGTAGGGTGCTGGCCCCATATACCTGAGGTGGCAGGTTCAAACCCGGCTCTGGTCAAAAAAAAATTGTAAATACTTTTTTACTATTTCTCTTGATTGTTCTATTTTCTTTGAAGAAAATAGCAGCAGCTTTCCACTGGATTCATTTGAAGTAATATCCTTTCCCCTTTGTTTTTGTTCTGGAATATATTTTTCACAAATGGGATTACCATATGTGGTGGTTGAAGGAGTTGTTGGTCCCAGTTTTCACCTGATAAAATTATGCACCAGAACCCCTGGCATGGCCTCAGGGTGAGCCAGGCCTCTTTCCTGCCTCTTGCCTCTGTGGCCATGTGATTTTCTTTGAGCAATGGGATGCCAGCAGATAGGATGCAATGTGAAGGCCTGGAAGGAGCTTGTGTGGCTGCACTTGCTCTTGTGCTTTTGTCACTGTTAGCAAAAGGACATTTAGAGCAGAGCTGCCCCTGCTGACCAAGAAGACCCACAGCTGGAAGGAGAGCCATCCCGCTGAGCTGCAGACCTGGGAGTGTAGTGATAAATACCTCTTGTGGTTGCATGTCACTTACTGATAGTTTGGAGATAGTTTATTCCGTAGTAATATCTGACTGATACCAGATATCAAAGGGAATAAATGATTTTTTTTTTTTTTTTTTGAGACAGAGCCTCAAGCTGTCCCCCTGGGCAGAGTGCCGTGGCATTACAGCTCACAGCAACCTCCAACTCCTGGGCTCAAGCGAGTCTCCTGCCTCCGCCTCCCAAGTAGCTGGGACCACAGGCGCCCGCCACAACGCCCGGCTATTTTTTGGTTGCAGCCGTCATTGTTGTTTGGCGGTCCGGGCTGGGGATTCGAACCCGCCACCTTAGGTGTACGTGGCTGGCGCCCCAGCCGGTTGAGCTATAGGCGCCGAGCCGGAATAAATGATTTTATCACTATTGTTATATGTTGTTGTTTTGTTCTCTAGGAATCCTAAAATCAATATGCCACCTTATCAGCATGGTATCTGTGTACTTACGAAAAATGTTCATATGGTTGGGCCTGGTGGTTGAAGCCTGTAGTACCAGCTACTTGGGCGGCTGAGATGGGAAGATGACTTGAGCCCAGGAGTTCAAGTCTGCAGTGAGCTGCAACTGAGCCCCTGCACTCCAGCCTGGGCAACAGAGCGGGACTCTTGTCTCTAAAAACAGAAAACCCAACAAAAAACAACAAAAAGCCCCCTAAAACTAAACAACCCAAAAGTAATGTGTCTTTCTTAATTTGACCATAACATCTAATTTTACATGGCTTAAAAAAAGAACATAGATCAGTAAACTATACCGTAAGCACTGCTTAGGGCTTTCCTTTATTCCATACTGAATCCATTATCTCACAGTAAGAATTTGGAGTAATGAACTCAACAAAGACATGGAATTTTCTTTCTCTATCTTTGATAACTATGACTTTAATTTGTAGTATAATTTAGGTACAATCCATATAGTTGGTGATTATATATACTACTAATCCTTTTTTAATTTTTTGCTACTCCTTATTTTTAAGGAAACACTCTTTTTATTTTTTTCTTGAGATAGTCTCAAGCTGTCTCCCTGGGTAGAGTGCCTTGGCGTCATAGCTCACAGTAACCTCAAACTGTTGGGCTTAAGTGATTCTCTTGCCTCAGTCTCCTAAGTAGCTGGGACTACAGGGGCCCGCCGCAACATCCAGCTATTTTTTTTTTTATGTTGTTGTCATTGTTGTTTAGGCCAGGTTTGAACCAGCCAGCCTCGGTGTATTTGGCCGGCACCCTACCCACTGAGCTATGGGCACCACTGGAAACACTTCTTTTGATAATGATTTAAAAAATTGGAGACATGACAAAACATTTATATTCAGGAATAATAGTCTTATCAGATGTTATTAATTTATTTCAATACCCACAATTTACATTTGTTTGTTTGTCAATTTATTTAAATAAGAGTCTCACTGTTGCTTTTGATAGAGTACCATGGTCAGCTCACAGCAACTTCAAACTCTTGGGCACAAGCAATCCTCTTGCCTCAGTCTTCCAACTACCTGGGACTATAGGCATGTGCCACCTTGCCAGGCTGTATTTTTTTCTATCTTTAGTAGCAAGGGGGTCTTGCTCTTGCTCAGGCTGGTCTCCAACTCCTGAGCTCAAGAGATCCTCCTGCCTAGGCCTCTCAGAGTGCTAGGATTACAGACGTGAGTTACCGTGACTGGTCTTACAATTTACTTTTAAAATTTAAATTTCTCAAAGACAAGTTTATTAAGTATATATATACAAATATACTGTATAAAGCTTGGCATCAAAACCTAACTGTTAATTCCATAATAAAAATTAAATACAGTGGCAAAAACCCCCTTTATTCTTTTCTAATGGAGAGTTGGCCAATTTATTAAATCTTTAGGCTGTAAGGATTTTTCCTTCGTTCTAAGAACCTACTCAAGTAAGGTGGTGAAGGTGGGGGTGGGTAGGGAAGTTCTACTTATTTTTTTCACTCAAGAAAGGAAGTCAAAATCCATGAGAGCAAGGGTGACATTATAATATTAATAACACAACCGTGCCAGTTTCCTAAGTTATTGAAAAGGGTAGGTAGGTTCTTTGCAAAATGGGTGTCATTTAGTAAGAAGTTACTTGTAACGCACCTCTCTGCTTACTGGGAACCCCTTGCTGTTTTGCATCCGTGGTTCAGAATCACTACCACGGAGAGGGCTCCTAACTGCCACATTATAATTATGAAAAGGAATTGCTTAAATTATCAGGAAAATAATGGTATTGATAAAATGTTCTACAACTTGACTATAAGCTTGACTGGAAGAGAGAACAGAGCAACGGGCCCTGGCTCTTGAGCTAGCCCAAGTTTAACAAGCTCGCCTTGGGTTTTCTTCACAATCACAGGGGACCCGGTCAAAAGGACGTCATGCCTCTCTCGTCCCCTGACCTTGCATTCAATTAAAAAGCAACAGGCCTTAACAATCATGGAACAAAAACCTCATTTCCCGGTGTAACCTTCCCACCCCGCGCTCTATGGGCTGCTAATCCGGCTCACAAAGCGCGCTGCTGCTCTTTTCTTCTCCGCGCCCGGACCCGGCGTGGCGCCCAACTGCTGATCGGCTCTGGAACGTCCCAGCAGCGCGCCGGGGGCCTCCGATGTTTATTTAGCAGGCTGCGGGCGCGGCGGGGCGCCTCCTGCACCGCGGCTCGGCGTGCACGCGCGCCCGCTCGGGAGAAGCCATGTACCGGCGCAGCTACGTCTTCCACGCCCGCAAGGAGCAGTACCAGCGCGCAGACGAGGCGTCGCGCGCCGCCGAGCCCGAGCGCCCGGCCGACGATGGCTGGGTCGGGGCGGCGAGCCTGGCGGCGCTGCAGGGGCTCGGCGAGCGCGTGGCCGCCCACATCCAGCGGGCCCGCGCGCTCGAGCAGCGCCACGCCGGCCTCCGGCGGCAGCTGGACGCCTTCCAGCGTCTGGGCGAGCTGGCCGGCCCCGAGGACGCTCTCGCGCGCCACGTTGAGAGCAACCGCCAGCGCGCCCGGGACCTGGCGGCAGAGCGCGCCCGGCTGGAGCGCCAGGGCACAGAGGCGCAGCGCGCGCTCGACGAGTTCCGGAGCAAGTAAGCGGCGTCCGTGGGGGGAACACCAGGCAGGGTGCGGGGTTGGGAGCACGCTGCCACCACTCAGAGGTGGAGGCTTTTCTCTGGTCCCCTGGCGACCTATGGTCTCATGCCTGCACGCCGGTGGCATATTTCCTTAAAATGAGACTAGCTTCCATTTGGAAGGCACCTCACAGTTTACATGAACTGGTATCATTTACTTTTCATATATTTTAAAATTTAAATATAACTTATACACAGTAAAACGCACAGATTTTAATTGCCTAGTTCAGCGAGTTTTGACAAACGTATATGCCTATATAGCTACCAAAACGAGATACTTTCACTATCCCAGAAAGTTACCCTCTCCCCAAACCAGAGACACCTAGTGTTCTGATTTCTATTACCATGGATCAGTTTTGCCCATTCTAGGAGTCCCCCCATGCAGACTCTTAACAGTATGTACTCATATGTCTGGCTTCTTTTGCCCCACACAGTATTTTTTGAAATGTACTAATGTTATTTAATCCCCACAACTTTAGCCTTATTGCACCTATTTTTCAGATGAGGAAACTGAGGCTCAGAAAATGCAGGGATTTGTGGCAAAGCCCCCACAGCTGTTGAATTGCTGCCCTGGGTCTGCAGTTTAGATCCTGGACATGCTAAATCTGTCTTCACGGCATCACAGCTGACATCTGGGGATTATGTTTCAATGTGAGTCCTGTATGGTCTTGCTACTCAGCTGCAGTCCCTGGACAGCAGCATTGGCATCACCTGGGAACTTGCTAGAAATGCAGACTCTTGAGCCTGATCCATTGCATCAGAATCTGAATTCCTAGTTGAACAAGCCATGGTCCTGGGTATTGTCTCTCCTCCCACAGATGGAATTATGTGTTCAAATCACGTAGGAGCTGTTAAAAAGAAAAAAGATGCTCAGCAATTTGTCAGCATCTTTCCAAATTATAAATATGTGTGCCCTTCGACTCAGGAGGCTATTTTGAGACATTTATTCCATGGTATGCTCCAGCAGTTGTGGAATGGCATGGCTACAGAGATATTCACTGCAGCATGATCTGAGTTAACCTAAATGACCAGTAGTAGGAGACGGGTGATAACACGGTGCTTCACTCACATGATGCAGTATTATACAGTACTATGCAGCTGTCAAAAAAGAATGGTATGTCATATCATTTATTTTTTATTTTTTTGAGACAGAGTCTCACTATGTCGCCCTCACTATGGTGTCACAGCTCATGGCAACCTCAAACTCTCGGGCTTAAGCAATTCTTTTGCCTCAGCCTCCCAAGTAGCTGGGACTATAGGCACCCACCACAATGCCCCGCTATTTTTTGTTGCAGTTGTCATTGTTGTTTAACTGTCCTGGGCTGGGTTCGAACCTGCCACCCTTGGTGTGTGTGCTCGCGCTGTAACCACTGTGCTATGGACACTGAACCATGTGTACTTTTTTTAAAGCAGGAGAGAATAGACTTTTTTTTTTTGGCTGGGGTTGGGTTTGAACCTGCCCCCTCCAGCATATGGGGCTAGCGCCCTACTCCTTTGAGCCATGGGCGCTGCCAGAGAATAGACATTTTTTGCATGCAAAGGAAAAAGTATTTCTGGACACACACATATACATGCACTCAGTGATGCTGGTTACCTGTGCAGATGAGAGAGTAGAAACTGAGAGATGGAGGTGGAAAGGATATTTAATTAAACACTGTACTTTAAAAATTGTTTAACCATATAAGAAATGTCATTTAAAAATTATAGAAATAAGGGTAGCGCCCATAGCTCAGTGGGTAGGGCGCTGGCCACATGCACTGGGGCTGGTGGGTTCAAACACAGCCCAGACCTGCTAAAAAAAACAGACAAAAAATAGCCAAGTGTTGTGGTGGGTGCCTTTAGTCCCAGCTACTTGGGAGGCTGAGGCAAGACAGTCACTTGAGCCCAAGAGTTAATGTTGCTGTGAGCTGTGATGCCATAGCACTCTACCATGGGTAAAAAGTTAAGGTTGCTATGAGCTGTGAGGCTATGGTACTCTACCAGGGGTAAACAAA